TATGCCGGCCAGCTGGTCCTGAGGGGGGATACCCCTGTGGAGGATGTGCTGGCAGCTGCCAGCTACTTGCACATGAATGATATTGTCAAGGTGTGTAAGCGGCGGCTGCAAGCCCGGGCCCTGGCAGAGGCGGATAGTACCAAGAAGGAGGAAGAAACCAACTCACAGCACCCTAATTTGGAGTTTTTGTCCAGCACTTCCCGTGGCCCCCAACCTTCGTTGGCATCTGCAGAGACATCAGGCCACTGGGGCAAAGGGGAATGGAAAGGCTCAGCAGCTCCCTCACCTACTGTCTGTCCTCCAGATGAGCCACCGATGCCGGCTGGGGCTGATACTACACAGCCTGGCGTGGAGGTTGACTCACCGCATCTGCGGGCACCTCCTCCACCAGTGGCTGATGTCTCTCTTGCCAGCCCCAGTAGCTCCACAGAAACCAACCCTGCAAACTACTTCTCTTCGGGCCTCCCAACGGTTTCAGTGGAGCCACTGGCTCCCCTTGATGTGGTTTCTGAGAATCTGAGGGTGGTGGAACCAAGGGGAACTGGAGGCCCACTGCAAGGCTTCTATCCCCCAGCTTCGGCTGCAGTCCCAGTCCCAGCCCCAGTTCCATCCCAGGCTCCAGCCCCAGCAGAAGCGGAGCTGGTCCAGGTGAAAGTAGAAGCTATCGTGATTTCCGATGAGGAGCCCGATGCCTCGGAGGAACAGCCTCGGGGTCCTGAGGGACTGTTCCCACCTGGAGGAGCAGTGTATGGTGAACAGCCCCCCCAGCCAGAGGCCTTTGAAGAGCCAAGGGCAGCTGGACTGGAGGAGGTGGGGGCCAGTGACCACTTCCTGCCGCCAGATCCTCACCTACCCTACCATTTGCTGCCAGGTCCAGGGCAGTATCATCGAGGACTGGTGACCTCACCCCTGCCTGCTCCGCCCGCCCTGCACGAGCCACTCTACCTGCCTTCCGAGTATGAAGCAGCCCCGGGAAGCTTTGGGGTTTTTACGGAGGATGTTCCCACTTGCAAGACATGCGGGAAGACCTTCTCATGTTCTTACACACTACGGCGCCATGCCACAGTGCACACGCGTGAGCGACCCTACGAGTGCCGCTACTGCCTGCGCAGCTACACGCAGTCAGGGGACCTGTACCGCCACATCCGCAAGGCTCACAATGAGGACCTGGCCAAACGCAGCAAACCGGATCCAGAGGCTGGGCCCCTCCTGGGAGTGCAGCCCATCCCCGGCTCCCCGACAGCAGACAGACAGAACAGCAGTGCTGGAGGGCCACCCAAAGATTTTGTACTTGGCCCCAAAAACTAACACGCCCTGATGCCAGGCTGGCTCTTGCCCCCGTTAGGGGGCAGCACGGAAGGTGGGAAGCATCTCATTTCCCTTGCTGGGGACAGAATGAAGATTCTGCCCAGGCTGTAGTTTCCTACCCTTTTCTTTTCCCAGCCAGATAGCAGGACTTTATGGGGCATCGCATCTCAGTCAACTCCTCACCAAGGGCACTGGGAATTTTCCTGAGGTGTAATCGCTTCTCATTCTGCGTTTGGACCCATAAAGCTAGCAGTGAAAAGTATCTCTCTGAACTGGACTTGCCTGGTTTCTTCCACAAAACTGCACACCTGCTGATTCTTTCACAGCTCTCCTCCAGACCTAGGAATCTGATACCTATACTTGGGGTAGGGGTGGGGGTCAGGTTGTTTATGAGGAAAAAAGTGGGAGAGGCAGAGGGCAGTGTAGACTTTACTTAGGAAAAGTGTACAAATTAGGGAATTTCAGACAATTACGGTTTATTGTTGTAGTTGAGCTCCTCCTGTGTCCCGGGCTGTACTGGGGACTTCACATAAATACTCATTTAATCCTCAACAAGTTTATGAGGCATTATCCCTCTCCCCGCTTTTTTCCCTACAGACAAGGAAACTTGAGACTGAACAATCAACGTTAACTTGTTCTGGGTCACAGAGCTAGTTAAGGGGCAAGCCAGAATTTGAACCCTGGCTTATGACTTCAGATACCATGCTGGTTTAAAACACTGTTGAAGATGGTTAACTTTGAACTAGAAGTTGTTTTCTTTTTTGACCTTTTGAGTGTTTGGTTTTGTTGCCTTACCCCTTTCCCTCTGCTTTCCATGTAGAAAGGCCTTTGATTGACTGTTTCAACAACAGATACCGTATTGATGACTTGAAATTTTTGCCTGCATGTCTTAAATGTGCATTGAGGTCTCTGAAGATGACAAACTGGAAGGCAGAAAACACTAAGCTCCACGGTGGTAGGCGTGTGGGGGCAGACTGAGGACTTGTGAAATGGAAACGATGGGCGCTTGGGAAAACTAAAGCAGGAAACTCTAGATGAGACAATCTTAGAGTTCATCTGGTCTAACTCCCTCACTTAAAAGTTGTGATGACGGCCTAGACAGGTCAGATTACTCAGGTATGGTCACACAGGTGGTTACTGACAGTAGAGATAGCAAAGAAATGGGAATTTGGGGTGTTGGTGTGGCATGGGGGGAAAAAGCATTCTAGGAATGTAAGAGAAGGGTCTGCCCCTGCCTGTGGTGAAGAGTGGTGTTTGTAGGATGGACCAGAGGGCTCCCCACAAACTCTCTCTCTTTGGCACATAAGGAACTGAATGCAAAAAAAGCAGGAAGGAGTATTTAGAAAAAGATGAAAATATGAGTGAATTTTCTGAATTTCTTCTCTCTCTTTTTGGATTTGTCACATTCAGCCCTGTGAACTCACACTAGCAAGCTGTTTTTGAGTCATAGGAAGGAGACAGAGCTGAGCATCAAAGATTTGGCCAAAGAAAGCTCCTTACTTGGGGTATGATGGGAAGCAAAAGTTGACGCTTAACATTTCCATGGCTGAGAGACTGAATTCTGCTTTTCATTTTCCTTGTGTTGGAATAATCTTTTATTTTATTTTTCAAATGGCTGATTTTATTTATGCAAATACATTACTGCCTTAACTCCTTGGTGAAACAAGGCAAGATATACGTACATACAGTAAGAGCTATTTTAGCTGACTGGAGCACCTTTTCCTGGAGTAAGTATCACATCAAAATGCCTATAAGAATCAGTTGCCTTTAAAAGAGTGAAATTTATGGTATGTGAATTAAAAAAAGGAGGGGGGAAAAAAGAAATCGGTTGCCTCAGAACATCAGTTCCTAAAAGCAAGGCATAGTAAATATGTGTACATGTATATATAATGTATATAATTTCTCTGGACCATCTGGGGAACACAGGAGCCTTGTTACTGTCTCGGCCAAGTGCAATACTTAACTAAAGAGGATGTGTTAACTTGGTGAGATTCTCCTGAAGAGCAAGCATTTGCCTTTAGTTCCCAGCATGGAATGCTTTCTTCATTGGAGGTGGCAGCCAAGAATTTGCAAGATGTTTAAGCAGCAGCCAACACAATTACGGCCACAGTTGCCTCACTTTATCTATCTGCTGGACACCAAGAACAGTTTAGGCCTGTTCTGTAGAGGTGTGATCAAGAGAACTTTCTCTGGTTTCCACTACTCTTGACAGTCCCATCCATGGATTCAACGAACCATAGACCAGCTCATCTAACCTCTAGTCCAACACTGGATCCTCCTTTTGCCAGGTGTTGAAAGAGAACTCACTATTCCCAAAGGAAACATATTCTACTGTTGGACAACCCTAATTGTTGGATAATTATTCCTTCTACTGAGCCAAAATCGGCCTCCTTTTATGGTGGGATGGGCCAGGTCCCAGGCTATTAAGAGTTTAACCCTGAGAAGTTATTTGCTTTTGAGCTACAAGCTGATTTAGTTTTCAGACGACCACCCTTTGCTCTCCAGTTTTAGAGACCTCTTGCTAGTTTAGGATTTCATTTCTTGATTGGTATTTTGCAAGTGTATGCCTTCACTTGCTCTTAGCTTCACAAAACTCACCATTTTAGCCCTTCACATTAGATTTCACTTTCTCCAAAGCCAGTGTTTCCAAAGATGGTTTACTTCAATTACTAATACTTTTTTTTTTTTTACTGTAAAATACATTTATTTTTATGGTTGATTGGTTGTTTTGTTTTGGGGTTTTTTTGTGTGTTTTTTGGCAAATGATATGAAGTGCTCTAAAGTCCCCTCCCCAATTTTATCAGTAAGCAATTTCAGCATGCACCTCTAAAAGAACTCTTAAAAAGACCAAATACCATGATCACACCCAGCAAAACTGTTAATAATTCTTGTTCAAATTTCCCTGATTGTCTCGCAAACTTTTAGTTGTTTTTTCAAATCAGAATCCAAATTCCAAGAGTTTTAGGAGATCTGTGCCAGGAGCTGGGAAGAGACCAATATATATATTTTTTCTTAATTCACACACAGTCTCATAAAAACTTTTAGTTGTTTTCTTCTAATAGAGTCACATTTATTTGGTTGGTGGCTCTTAAACTTCTTTTAATTTATAGGTTCCCCTCTCTTTTTCCTTGCAATTTATAGAAGAAATTGGTTTATTCATCTTATGGTTTCAGCCTGGGATTTGCTGATTACGTCCCCATGGTATCATTTAACATATTCCTCTGTCCAAAAATTCCTTTCAAAATATATATTTAAAATATTGACTAAAAAGTAGTATAGGTAGTATGTGATTTTGGCAAAACTGTAAAGATGATGGGTATTGGTTTGGAGGGAAACACTGTTCTAAACTGTCCCTTATGTGCAGTATGAATCCTCACATCACCATGAATGCTTTCTCTTCAATCAAACCCTCAAATCCTGTGTGGAAACCATTAAGGATTGGTAAGGTGAGCAGCCTCCCCCCTCCACAAACTTCTGAGTACAGAGATTGAGGTACCTCTGGCTGATTCCTTCAGGATGTGGGCTGGCCAGACCTCCTCCAGACCCACATCTGACTGCCTATCTTTGTCCACTTTCCCGTTCGTTAACATCTCTGTTAGGAGCTGGCCTTCAAATTAAAGGCGAAATGTAAGTCTGACCATTTTGTGTCTTAGAAGTGCTAAAAAGGGTTAGTGCAATAAATTTGTACAGTACATTTTTAAATATCAGTTTTATTTTTTCCTCATTGATGCAGAACATAGCTTACTGTAACAGCAAGTCTTAGGGGAAAAAAAGAAAATCAGAAAGCAAAACCAACCCCAAACAAACATAACACACAACCATGCATGACATAATCTGGCAACAGTCTAGGCTTAGAAATTTAAGAAACTTGGAAGAGGAATAAAATATTCCACTTTTGTTAGTTCTGTCCTTGGACTTAAAAGATTATTTGGTATGAAAACTTTTTGTTTGTAAGTTGGTGGCTGTATTATTTAAGGGTACAGGGAGACTCAAAGAGGAGCCTAGCTCGTTGAGAGAGAGGCATTACTTATAAAGGGAGAAGAGCTTGTGTACACTTGGCAAGATTAAGGGGTTTTTGTCTGAAATCTGTCTGTGTATGATGGCTAATGATACATGCTTATTACCTTCACTCATAAAGGTAGAAGCAGTGCTATTATGGTCTTATCTACTCTGTACAACTCATACATTGTGGACATTAGCAGAATGACAAAAGAGCTCCCGGTTGATGAAGCCTCATACTGAGCCATGACTGCACCAGATCTGCGCCTGCACCCATGCCCAAAAAATCTTCCAGAAAGTTCGTTGGTGCTTAAAAGGCCCTAAGGGAAGAGAACCTTTTCTCACTGTTTCCTTCCTCTTTAAGGAAGTGAGCTCCTGCGAAATACAAGGGGGCGGGTAACAAGTAAAGAACAGATCTATGTTTTTATCCTGTTCTTTTATGGTATTGTTTCTAGAAGACTTGGTAAACTGTCTTTCCTATGTTTTTTTAGAGAAATGAGCATACTATAGATATGCACCTATTAAAAATTAAAATGTTTACGAGTGTTTTTTTGGCATGAGAGCTTTTAAAAGATTACAAAATATATACTTAAATGCTTGACTCCAGAAGTTTTAAGACAGAAGGGTTTAATAAAAAAATAAATAAGTATACTATATTAATGATCTGAGTGTGAACAATAGCAAGGACTAGAAATTACCAAGAGAAACAAGAGGAACTAGATACTTTTGTGGGGGAAAAAGAATCTGAATGTATGTGGAACATTAAGACAAAGGAATTATTTTAGTCAAGATGGTTAATTTCAAATCTTTCATTCTGAGCCGTGTGGGCCCAATTTATAATTGTCTAGTTTCACAGTATATATATTTGCCAGTTTGTGGCCTGTGTAAGTTTGGCTTTGGACATCTGAGGAAACGAAGGAAGAAACTCCTTTCTGCCTTCCTTATTACTTCATCCTCTGCTAGCCTTCTCCTTTGTATAGGACTACATCTACCAACATCTATCATTAAAATCTATGCCAAAGATATGATTAATTCCACCCATAACTGACGAATGTTTTCTGCTTGTATTTCTCAAGGCAAATATCCCTAATAATACCACATACTAAAAGCCGTATAAATACATAGATGGAGAAACAAAAACAGACACAGACCATGTAAGCAATAAAGAGTTCGTGCAGAACTAGAAACAAAATACAAGTTCACCTCAGTCAGAGGTATGGGGTTAATTTCTCTTGCTGAGGCTCAGGTTTCCCCTTGATGGGTCCTTATTGGTTCACCGAAGTTCCAGTGGAGGGGTATCTTTCTTCTTTGCTAACCAAACATGCCCAGGTAGAGCTGCTTCTCTTTCCGATGGTAGCTGCTGAGTTCCGACTGCGTTAGCTGAAGGTACCGCCGGACACTGGCGTCTTAGAACAGGGCAGAGAAGGCAATTAGAGACAGGCCATAACCGTACCTCTGGGCAGAAGAGGATTATGAACACACTTCCATTTCCTAAAATCTTTCCATTTGCATATATCACAACAATTCTATGCAATAGTAAATCTCATTCATTAATTATGTGCATTATTAAAAAATCTTGTACAGGGATGCTAACTTAATAATGAAAAGGAGCTTGGAGAAATAGTTTTTGTCAGAGCAAGTCTCTAAAGCTACTATACATGGCTGGCAGTTAATCTATGTACTTGAAGGTAAGAAATGTGAACAACGGCTCATATATCTTCATTAATTCATAATGGCTTTCCCGTTCAATTAGAGAGATTTTGCTGAATTTTTGTAAGTTTGGGGACCCTCTTACTTCAGTAGCCGCTCTAAGCCAGAATGCAAAACGGGAGACAATTTTCAGTGCTGAACCACCAACACAGGAATGAGTCTGTCATTCTCTTCACAATATTCTTTTTCCCTTGGAAACAAGGGAAACAAGCCTCAAATTTTCTGTCAGGAGGCCTGTCCTTCTTCTAGGTCATACCTGGGGTTAGCTGAGCTAAAGGATGAATGGATAGTTAAGCAAAGGCCAGACCCCAGCTGGAGAACTGGTAGAAATGAGGATTATCATGTTTATTCATTGGAATCCAGATCCTATTTTTGTCCCCATCTAGGAACTGAAACTTGAAAAACAACATTTTAAGATTATTTCTGGAGCACATACAATATTGCTTTCCTGTGGAGGCAAGAATACAGGAGTAGAAGTCCTGTTTATCATATATCTTTTTACACTTTTTGTATTTTGAACATGTGAATGTATTATTACCTATTTTCAAAATTCAATAAATGGAAAGCTAAAACACTCCCACAGATACTACCTCAGTGGAACAATTTTTTGTACTTACTACTTCAATCCCCTTCTCTCACCTTTTGGTTGCCTGTTGACAGCGGCCATGAGGTAATGCCGAGCCTGGTCATAGTCCTGCAGGTGGAAAAAGGCCACTCCAGCCCGATACAAGGCCTTGGCATTATCAGGCTGTCGCTCCAGGACTTTCTGACTGTATTCTTTCACCCGTTCGTAGTTTACTGGCTCCATCTGAAGAAGACAGGCTAATGGGGCCAAATGGAAGGAAGAGAGAAGAGGGAACACTAAGTTCCATTGCCCAACTCAAGGCAGTACCAAACCTAGGATGATGTCAACAACATTCACTCATCCAACAAATACATTTAAGTGCCCACCATATGCCAGACATTCTTCTAGCCATTGGGGATACAGCAGTGAATATAAGCTTTACATACCTCACAGTTTACTTCACTATCTACCAAATGCCTAGCACGTACCTAGTGTGGGTCAGGCCCAGCTATAAAAGTTGATAAGAACATATTTTAAAATTTATTTATGGGGACTTCGCTGGTGGTCCAGTGGTTGGGACTTTGCGCATCCACTGCAGGGGGTGTGGGTTTGATCCCTGGTCGGGGAACTGGGATGTTGCATGCTGCGTGGCACAGCCAAAAAAAGAAAAAAAATTATTTAAAACTCTTCATTGTATCTCTTCTACCCAAGGCTCTCTGTCTTGAATCTCCCATTTCACCACAATGCTTGTACTGAAGCTCTGTTAACAACAACCGTTGCCATTAATTGTGTGAGGAAATAGTAAGCGCTGTGCCATGTGCTTCTTTAATCTTCTCATCCACCCTCTGAAGTCAGTATGTGTTACCATCTCCATTTAATGGATGAAGAAATCAAGGCTCACAAGGGTCAAGTAAGTTGTCCAAGATCCCACAGCTTCTAGGTGGAATGAATAAGAAATCTGAACCAAGGACTCTCTAACTCAAAAATTACCACCATTCTCAATGATGATATATTACTTCACTATTCCCTTGGATGAAAGATGGGACCTCAAACCACAAATCTGTTTAGGAGGCAATGTTCAGGTCAGTGTTCTGCCTTTCTATAAGTAAGAAGGGAAATGCATTCCCTGTTTCATAACTGTGGGAATTAAACATAGCATTATTAAATCACGGTGCTGAGAAGGAAGGAGAATCAGGGCTGATGTCTGCAACCCTTCTACAACATCCCCACCAAGTGGCCATATGGTTTATATCAATACTTCGGTACTCCCAGGCGGTCAGCTAACCCATCACTGTAGCTTCATTCATTCATTCGACAACTAGTTATGGAACACTGACCATGTGCTAGGCGGAGTTAGGAGCAGGCGAGGAGAGGAACGAGACAGACACCTTGACGAGTAAATAAAGCTTGCATCCCAGTTCCCAGGTAGGAGGAATGCACTAAGAAATTCACTTATTTATTAGTGCTTTGAGGAAAACAGAACTGTGCTGGGACAGAGAGTGAATGAGGTCAGAGTGATGTTTGATTACAGAAGGCCTCCCTGAGAAAGTGACTTTTGGGCCAAGATCTGAATGACAAGGGTCATTCAAGGGACAGGGCATTCTACCTGACAGAAGAGATCCTACAAAGCTGGAAGGTGGACGCATGCTTTGTGAATTTGGTCTATGGCGGAGCCAGATCAGGTCAGGCGGTGCCGGGGAAGGTCAGAGTTTGAATATTTTCCTAAGTGTAATGCGATGCCATTGGACAGTTTTAGACAGTGACATGGTCTGATTTCCTTATCTGTAAAATGGGGAAAATCATAAATACCTTGCAGAATTTTTATAAAGATGAGAGATACTATAAATAAACTGCCCAACACGTAAACTTCACTCACATGTAAGTGAAATTTAATTTTAGTGAGTCTTTATAGAACATCTACCAAGCACCCCCAAGCAGAGGGTCTATAGATGGATAAGCTACAGTCTCTGCCTTCAAGTCCACCTGGAGAGTCATGATATTTACAAGTACCTATCTCATTTCCTTGATTTCTGGTCAATTCCCCAATGTGTATTCTCTTCTCTAATAATGCACAGTATTCTGCAATAAGAGCTTAAGCTCTGCAATTAAGACTTCCCATGTTTAATTTTAGCTCCAGCACTTATTAGATGTTTCCTTAAATCTACCTCAAAGGATTGCTGTGACACTTAAATAGGTTTATATGTATATGTGTACAAAGGGCCTAAACACGGTATTTCATAAATGTCACCTTAACGAGCCTTCCCTGACCCCTACCTAACACTTCCATGCCTATGGCACTCACTTTCCCCATTTTCTTTTTTTGGGCCACTCCACACAGTATGTATGATCTTAGTTCCCTGACCGGGGATGGAACCTGCACCCCCTGCATTGGAAGCACGGAGTCTTAACCACTGGACCGCCAGGGCAGTCCCTATCCCCATTTTCTGCTTTATTCTTTTCCACATTACTCATCATCTTCTAATATATGTTACCTCTTCTGTTAATTGTCCATCTCCCCATGAAAGCAGGGATCTTTATCTGTTTTATAATACTGCAGTATCCTCAGTACGCAATAAATAATTGTTGAATGAACTGAAATATTAGCTCCTCTAGTTACTGTTACTTGAGTCTAAGAGGAGCTCTGGACACACACTGTAAAAAAGCTAGATTTTCACCAAATCACAGCTGATGAGTGTTGTAGAAAGCAAAAAAAAAAAAAAAAAAAATCAATTAAACAACTATTAACAAAGTATAAAAACTACCCCTGGGCTTCCCTGGTGGCGCAGTGGTTGAGAGTCCGCCTGCCGATGCAGGGGACACGGGTTCGTGCCCCGGTCCGGGAAGATCCCACATGCCGCGGAGCGGCTGGGCCCGTGAGCCGTGGCCGCTGAGCCTGCGCGTCCGGAGCCTGTGCTCCGCAACGGGAGAGGCCACAGCAGTGAGAGGCCCGCGTACCGCAAAAAAAAAAACAACAAAAAAACTACTCCTAATAATTTCTATGGCCTCAACTGGGACCATTAGAATACTTTAATATACTTCAAAATAACTTAATTAGCTCTATGGTTATTTTGCCTGCCATAAAACAGACCTAAGAAGTCTCCCTTCTTTTAGCAGATTAATCCTAGCGATACTAACTCTGGAATCCACCTCTTCATTCAAGGCCAGCTGGATAAGGAAGATATTGGTTACCCAGGTTACCATCTAGCTGATTTATAGGAAGAAGGAAAATGAGGAAAAGCTATCCAAAATATCTAAGATGGATAACTTACACCACCAGTTAAAGCAAGTGCCTTCTTTCCTATATTTTAAATATTAAAGAAACAACACTCTAAACGTAGGTTCAGTATTTTCCCTATAGCGTGCGAAATTCCCTAAACCTATCAGCATCACCCGGGAGTTTGTTAGAAATGCAAATTGGTACACACATCGCCCAACACACAAACCTCCGACCCATTAAATCGGAATCGTGGGAACAGGGCTCAAGAAGTTGAGTTTAACAAACTCTCCAAGTGAAGTCTGAGAAGCACTGCTCTACAGAAACTCAATTAGACCCTACAGATTGAAAATAAATTTCAATTCATGGCAGAATAACTAGATGACGGCAGAGAAGCACGTCAGTTTTCCCCAATGTTCTCAGACTTTCATGTCCCGGCCTTGACACTCTACCCACCCTTCAGCCCTGTTCTTACCAGCTAGGTTGTTGTAGCAGTCTGTCTGGGTGGTGCGCAGTACGTTTTCTTGTTCAGGTGTGAGGGCCGGGCCCTGGGGTCCCAGATTAGGTATCGGGGAGGGCAGACTTGGATCCAGACCCCGCAGCTGCAGCAGAGCTCGATGGTACCCACTCACAGCATCTCGGTACTTCCCTTCCCGGTAACATTGGTTCCCTTTCTCCTTGTACAGCTGGGCCTCCTGCAGGCGCTTCTCCATAACTTTGTCGCCCAGTGCTCTTGAGGAATTGGGAAGTGAAAGAGCAACCGAAGCTCTGGGGATAGGAGCGAAATAACCGATTTTGGTAGCCGACTTAAAAAAGCAGGAAATTCTCCTTCTCCAGGAGGCCTCTCAGGGAATGTTTCCTTGATTCTACTACAGCCCCTTCCTTTCTTCTCTGCAGTTATTTTTCAATCTCTAGAAGTGCAGGGCATTGATCAGGGAGAGGACGTGGAAGAGTAAAGCCAGAGATTAATTTATTTCCTAAAGCGGCGACTCCGGGGGGAGGAGACTGCACGAAAAAGCGAAGGCCGTACTATAAAATTGTGGCCGGCGTGCAAAGGCCAGCGGAATTTGCTTCCTTCTTTCCTTCGGACACACCTCCCTGACCTGGAAATGGAAGGGAGTAAGGCGGGGACAACTGCTAAACGAGGTCTAGAGGGCTTGCCTCCATCCCAGCTCTTTGTTCGCACTTATTCAACCAGCATTTGTTGACCTCCGGGCCAGGAGTTGGGGAACCGAGGTGAATGCGGTCCGTGCACCCCAAACAGCCCGAGGGTGACGCGGCCGCACCGCCGCTCATGCAAGCCTCGCATGCCCCGCGGCCAGCCCCTCGCCCCCAGCAAGTGGCCGAACCCGAAGTCTCCCCGCTGGGCTTCGATTTACCGGCGGGGAGTAGGGAGAGTGCAGGGTCAGGCCTCCCGACAGCTTGGTGTCTAAATGGTGGCGCGCATTGCTCCACGCCGCCCAATCAGAAGCGGCCCCGGAAAAGTAATCCCGCAGAAACGACCCCGCCTCTCCAGCCTCCCCAGTGGACCAACCGTGGGGTGGGCGGAAATCCTCTGGCAGCTTCGCCAATTGAAAAAAAAAAAAAAAAAGAAAGCTCTTGAGGGACCAATCAGAATTGCAGATGACGATTCAAGTTGGCCAATACGGCGAGGCCAGGGTGTCTGTTGCTGGGTAGAAGTTGAAGGATTGAGGGGGAAAAAAGAGGGCCGGGGTTAGTTACTGCAGTCCTTGCAAGGTTTTAGAGAGCCCTTTTGTTGACTAACGAGAAAGACAATTGCCAGTAGGCGTTCACGTTGCAAAAGCTTCCCTGCTTTCCTTCTGGCTTTTTTCTCTCTCAAGAAGTGGCTGCACGAATAGACACTAGGGAACAGAGATTAGCGAGCAAGCCCTACGACAACAGTGTGATCGGGTCAGACGGAAGTAAGGGTGGTGACGGGGTGGGAGGGGCGTGTGGCGAGGGAGGTCCGGGCGGCTGCGCGGAGCCCCGGCTGGAAGTACGGAGGGACGGGTGCGCACACGCCTCGGTACTACGAGGCACTTGAGCTGAAGCCAGCCTTTCCCGTCTCCGGCTCCGGTGCGACTGCGCCGTGAAGCCGCTGGCGGCGATTGGCCCAGGGGGTGAGAGGGGGCGGGAGGTAAAGAGAGGGAAGTCCACCGTCCTCTGCGCGCGCCCACCCGCCCGCGGCAGGGGAACCAAGGGGGCTGGAGAGGAAGCAGCTCCCTGCTGCGTTGTTTTGGGCTCCGAGGGCCGAAAGGGGGAGGGAGGAAGGGCGAGAAACAAACACTACGTAGCGGAGGCTGCGTGCGGCCTTCTGCCTGCGTGCCTACGTGCGTGCGCTCGCTCGCGCGGGCTCAGTGCTGGCGCGTGAGGCGGAGGCGGGCGGCGGCGGCGCCTGCGCGGTCGGGCTCGGTCGACGGCTCTCAGGGGAGGAGGCGGCGGGAGGCGGAGGAGGCGGCGGCGGCGATGGAGGTGAAGCGGCTGAAAGTGACCGAGCTGCGGTCGGAGCTGCAGCGGCGCGGCCTGGACTCGCGCGGCCTCAAGGTGGATCTGGCGCAGCGGCTGCAGGAGGCGCTGGACGCCGAGATGCTCGAGGACGAGGCCGGCGGTGGCGGGGCCGGGCCCGGCGGGGCCTGCAAGGCGGAGCCTCGGCCTGTGGCCGCGTTGGGCGGCGGCCCGGGCGGGGACGAGGAGGAGGACGAAGAGGAGGAGGAGGAGGACGAGGAGGCGCTGCTTGAGGACGAAGACGAAGAGCCACCCCCTGCCGAGGCCTCGGGCCAGGCCGCACAGCCGCCGCCGGAGCCCCCGGAGGCGGCAGCCGTGGAGGCCGCGGCCGAGCCCGATGCTTCCGAGAAACCAGCGGAGGAGGCCACAGCCGAGTCAGGTGGGGTGAACGGTGGCGAAGAGCAGGGCACCGACAAGGGGGAGGAAGATGAGCCGGAGGATCGGAGCGGAGACGAGACGCCGGGATCCGAGGCGCCGGGTGACAAGGCCGCAGAGGAACAGGGTGAGGAGCTGGCAGCGGAGCGGGTGCGCCCCTGACCTAGCACCAAGCCCTGCATCGCGGGGTTCGATTCCCATCGCCATTCGGTGGGACTCCCCAGGGGAGGTGGCTTTCGTCCTCTACCCACCTTTTTGGGGGGTTTGACTACCTCTGGTGGCCCCACTCTCTGCAGGCGGGAGGTTCCTGCCTAACTCGGTTGCTTGGTGGTAGTGGATGGAAGTAAGCGATGTTGCTTGCGAACTGCTTATGAGCTACCTGTTGGAGCAGCCTTCCGCGGTGCTGGTTATCTTTTCCTAAACCGAGAATGCACTGAGGAATTGTTGATTACACGGACAGCCAGACCGACTGTTGGAGGCTTCGGCCCGACTGTTGACTTTTTCGCCATAAAATTAAGCAATAAGCTCAGTTCGTCAAAGTTCGCTCCATCGAAAGCTCAATATTAGAGTTTGAGCCACACCGAAAATCTGGAAATCTAACATTGCTCCTGCTTCAGCAGCAGCTCCTGCTTCAGCAGCCTGTGGTGTGAGGGTGTCAAGTTTAATCGTTAACTACGGAAGAAAAAATTTTAATCTACAGCATTTAGAACGTTAATCAACATTATTTGGCTAGGGGTTTAACCTTGCCTGAATTCTTACAACTAAATTTTAATCTTTCATCTGAGTAGATGGTTGGGCAAATTTGTGTATTTGCTGTACACTTAGCTAGCTTTTTACATTTCGGGTCCTTGACTTCCTGAATTGAAATGGTTGGGCTGTTGGTGGGTCCATTGAGTAACCTTGTGGAAGAGACTGTATAGAGTTGCCCTAGGGAGTTAGTGACCTTTCTCTCTTTGAAGTAATTGGATGGTTGGAGCTGATCCATAACTGTCTTGTCAGAGTAGGGAGGAAAACTAGAGCTGCTTCCCATTCTTAATATGAAGTGGCTTGCTTTAGTTCCTTTTATAATACATTTTTTAGGCTGCTGCTTGGTATGATGGTATAATTGGAACCCATTCTACAACAGTCACATGCAACTTGCAGATTGTCCCATGTTCTGGAACAAAAATCCCATTACATAACCTTTGACTTAACGTGTACCGCCAGATAGCAGATAAAAAAGGTTGAGGGATAAAGGACTTCTTTAAAGAAGTTATTATTAAAAACTTTAGTGTTACAAACCAAAAAAGTCCAAGGAAAAATTGCTTTTCTTCTCCTTTTGTGAAGAATGTTGCGAAATATATGACAACACTTTTCTGCCCCAAATTATGTGCAGTAAAGATGCAGTATTATTTGTGGGTCTCTTGTGACTTAATGGTTTGCTCCTGCAAGTTTCAGTAAAAATCTGTGATAAAAATACAGCTCTGTATATACACCATAGTCCATTAGCTATGTAAGTAAAGCTGTGGATGGCTGTGCGTTTCAAAGCTGGAAAGGCAAACCCTTAAAAAAAAAAAAAATTGAGGCTTCTGTAACATGAACCTGTGGAAAAGTGTTGGAAAACATATATTAAGTGTCCAGCTTAAATCCAAATCTGATAGTCAGGAATCGAAGTTAAGCTATGAAGTTTTTAAAAAACTCATGGGATGTTTCTTTTATGTCATATTGGTGGGAAAATCTGCAAGTTTGACCTGATTTAAGCAGATAAATTTAGAATGCAAAAATTGCCGAATTTTTAATCTACTGCTTGACTGTAATTAGCCCATAATGTCCCTTTTTTTAAAAAAAATAAAATAAAATCCCAGCCAATGACAGGAAGATGATCATCTTTGGAAATAAAACATTCTGTGAATGCCATGGGAAAAACCTGGCTCTTCTGACTAGACAGATATGCAGGTCCTCCTTTAGTTTCTGTTGGTTCTGAGCTTATTCTACATTCCAGTATGAAAACTGCTGATTTTCTTTCCCTCCTTTTTGTAGGAGATGACCAAGATAGTGAAAAGTCAAAACCGGCAGGCTCAGATGGTGAGCGGCGGGGGGTAAAGAGACAGCGGGATGAGAAGGATGAACATGGCCGAGCTTACTATGAATTCCGAGAGGAGGCTTACCACAGCCGGTGAGGGAAATAGTCCCTTTCATTGAAGGGAGTGTCTGCTCTGATTTTGGTATACCTGATGTTGATTGGAGAGTCTGGAAAGAGGGGTGGATTAAAAATGGAATAGGTTTTTACAGGCCTAAGTTTTAGATTAAATCTACCCTGAGAGCTCCTGTTGCCCTTTTCACATTTGTTGAAAGAAGCTGTCTGCTGGAAGTTTATATTTGCTGATAAACAGATCTGATGTCATGCAGACACCTCTCCAATTAGAGGACTTTGGTTACACTGTATTTGCTTTTCTCTCATATGTATAGTTCAAAGTCTCCACCACCCCCGGAAGAAGAGGCAAAAGATGAGGAAGAGGATCAGACTCTTGTGAACCTGGACACGTGTATGTATAAGGCAGACAGGTTGAGGTTTTAAACCAATCAAAAGTGATTTTGGAGATTAAAACTTCATGGCCTGCAGTTTTGAAAAGATTTAAACTTTGTATCCATTCTTGAGAACTGGGTATACTTGTGTTCTATTGGTGGCTTCAAGTGTTGGGCATTGGAGTAAACAGATCGCTTCTTTCTTAACAGATACCTCGGATCTCCATTTTCAAGTGAGCAAAGACCGCTATGGAGGGCAGCCGCTTTTCTCAGAGAAGTTCCCCACCCTTTGGTCCGGGGCAAGAAGTACTTATGGAGTGACAAAGGGGAAAGTCTGCTTTGAGGCCAAGGTAGTGTGTACAGCTCATTAGGACCGTTCATTTATTAAATTAGTCATTAGACTACTATGTAGTGGGCTCCAGTACATAGTAGTTTACTGCCCACCAGTATTTTATTAGTGCAGAAAAAGGCACCACGCTTGAATGACAACCGTAGCGCCAGTAACCGAGAAATTGACCCTCATGGCTTTGGTTTAAGTTTATTGACAGTTGTTTTTCTGACGTTGAGTTGTGATAGTTGTCGTTTTCGGTTTGTATCAAAATCTTGTCTAACTCAGACTTTGCTCGAGTATCTGAAAGTTCCTTTTCTGACTTGGCCAGGTAACCCAGAATCTCCCAATGAAAGAAGGCTGCACAGAGGTTTCTCTCCTTCGAGTTGGATGGTCTGTTGATTTTTCCCATCCACAGCTTGGTAAAGTTATTTTTAACATAATCATTTTAATGTTTGCTGCTCTGTGGGAGGTTTGTGTGTAGGTAACTAATTTGCTGATTATTTTAGGTGAGGATGAATTCTCGTATGGTTTCGATGGACGAGGACTCAAGGCAGAGAATGGGCGGTTTGAGGAATTTGGCCAGACTTTTGGGGAGAGTGATGTCATTGGCTGCTTTGCTGTAAGTGCTCCTGAAAGTTGTAGATTTGTAGCAAGGAGTAAATAGAGGGCACTAGGGATCAATTTGCTTCCCATCGACTGCTGTCTTTTCTGCCTTTGATGCATTGCTCACATAGTTGTTTAGTACAGCAGTTGGAGTAGAGAAAAAAAAGATTAAATTGTAAGATTAATCAACCTCAAGCTCTGTGTGCCCATAAATGCTCTTGTCTTTCGTCGTTGTAGAATTTTGAGGCTGAAGAAGTAGAACTTTCCTTTTCCAAGAATGGAGAAGACCTTGGCGTGGCATTCCGTATCAACAAGGAATCCCTGGCTGACCGGGCCCTCCTACCCCATGTCCTCTGCAAAAATTGTGTTGTAGAATTAAATTTTGGTCAGAAGGAGGAGCCCTTCTTCCCACCGCCAGAAGAGTTTGTGTTCATCCATGCTGTGCCTGTGGAGGAGCGCGTGCGCACTGCGGTCCCTCCCAAGACCATAGAGGAGTGTGAGGTATGCTGGAGAGTGTGCAGAACCTTGGTGCTCATGCTTGGAATGGTGGGTGGGTCGCTCTTCTTCTGAAAACTTTACCCAGCTGGGGGAAGGGGAGGATGTTCTTAAATTGGGCTTTGTAAACATGACCCTCACTTATTTTTTATAGCATTCCTGGTTCTGTTTACTTGCAGGTGATTCTGATGGTGGGACTGCCTGGATCTGGAAAGACCCAGTGGGCACTGAAATACGCAAAAGAAAACCCTGAGAAAAGATACAATGTCCTGGGAGCTGAGACTGTGCTCAATCAAATGAGGGTGAGTTGCTGGGAGGGGTTAGTCAGCTGTGATGTTAGCTCTTGAGGTACCAAGAAATTGATATAATCTTTTCCCAGTGGAGTTGGTCTTTCAGGTGTCTGAGAACAAGGGCCCCACAAATAAAGAAATGCGTTCTCAGTATGTGTTTATGGTAGATTTTTTTCTTTTCCTTTGCTGTGTTGTCAAATGTGAAAGCTGGTAAAGTCTGGAGTTTATCCAGATTGAGACTGGAAATGAGTTCTGTAGGAAATGGACAACATTCACAGCACTGAGCAGTGTCAGTGAACTGATGTGGTGGTGGTGTGGCATTTACCAGTGATTCTTGGGCTTTAACTTAGTGTGTAACTCCTTGTGTTTCTCTTCTTCTCAAACTCATTAGATGAAGGGGCTCGAGGAGCCACAGATGGACCCCAAAAGCCGAGACCTTTTAGTTCAGCAAGCCTCCCAGTGCCTTAGTAAGCTGGTCCAGATTGCTTCCCGGACAAAGAGGAACTTCATTCTTGATCAGGTATTGTTCAAACATTCAAAAGAAACCTAATTTAACAATAGGTCCAAAGATAAAAGATTTGGTATCCATTTAATCTGATAAAATTGCTCAGGGACTTTGCTGGTGGTCCAGTGGGTAAGACTCCGTGCTCCCAATGCAGGGGGCCTGGGTTCAATCCCTAGTCAGGGAACTAGATCCCGCGTGCATGCTGCAACTAAGACCCGGCACAGCCAAAATAAATAATATTTTTTTAAATCCCTTTAAAAAAAAATTGCTCAGAGTCAAAATAGGGTGCATATATAGAGAAAGACTGAATTAAGTAACAGAATCAGGTTACCTGATTATGACTAAGTGGTTGTGTTACGGTTGTAATGTGTTTTGAGCTCAGAGATACAACTCTTAGTGTTTTTACCAGAGAGTGTATGGACCCAGACTGTAAAACACATTCTAGAGGCAATGGAAAGAGCGTTGGAGCTTTGGATTCATGGCTCCACCACTTACTAGGTTTGTGACCTTGGACAAGTCTTGGCCTCTCTGAGTCTCAATTTTCATGTTGTGTAAAACAGGATAACATCACGTAGCTTTTGAAGAATTCAAAGAGACTGTGTAAATAAGACCCCTAATCTAGTGCCTCACTTGTGAAAGATGCTCAGTAATTGTTGGTTGAATTAGTGTTTAATTTTTATTCCTAAAACGTCTATTACTCCTCTTGTTCCTAGTGTAACGTGTACAACTCTGGCCAACGGCGGAAGCTATTGCTGTTTAAGACTTTCTCTCGGAAAGTGGTGGTGGTCGTCCCTAATGAGGAGGACTGGAAGAAGAGGCTGGAGCTAAGGAAGGAAGTGGAGGGAGATGATGTGCCTGAGTCTATAATGCTGGAGATGAAAGGTGGGCTAAACTCTACAAGTTAGGGGTCCTGTCCTTGGTCCATGCACACCTCACTGGAGCCTCTTAGCACCTGGAGGATTCTCCACATGTAAAGTGTAAATCTGTGGAATAAATTAATGGGTGTGATCACTTGAAGATTAATGAATGAGCAGAGTGAATGGTGAAGCAATAACTCCTTGATTCATTCTGATAAAATACAAAAAGAGAAATGGTGATAGATCACAGGATGATAGCCTTAAGGCAGAGGCTTCAACGAGTCAGTTATTCATTTAGTAAGTACTTAAAGTGTCTACTATTTGTCCAGTACTGTTCTAGACATAGGGAAAGAATGAATGAAATGAAGCTCTGCCTTCACCGAATTTATATTCTAGAGATGGGCCATGCTTGTGGTTCAAATTAAAATGGTAGTGGTTGGAGTGAATGATCTCATCAGTATATTTTGATTTCTAGTATCACATTAGGCCTGTTTTTTATTTTTGTTGTTTGTTTGTTTTGGTTTTTGATACGCGTGGTACAAAGCCTTACAGCAAGGTTCCCTAGAAGGCAAAATTAACTATCTTGATTGATCTAGTTTTGTGCTGTTCACCTCGGAGTTTGGTTTTTCCCCTTGCTGCCTTCAGCGCCTGACATCCCACCTGAGCTGTCAACTACTGGCTCTTTGAATTCTGATAATGCCCAGGCATGGGAGCTGGTTACACATTTAAGAGCTGGATTCTCCAAGTTTACTTAGAATGAACTAGGCCAGTCCATACCGGTACTCAAGCACTTGGAGGAACTTAGTTCAGTTTTATAAAACGGAGGGCTAACTAGATTCATCTCAGAATCAGGAGAGCCTCATTGAACTGAATTCTGCGGGGACTCAGCCTCTGAACTTGATGTCTAGAGACTGGCAAGTGTGCTGGCCCATCATACACAGGTGGTTTTAATGAGGACCCCGTACTCTTGTTAACTGTTTTTCTTGTATAGATGAGTAAGTGCCTTTAGGCTGGGGTCAGTTTCTTCTTGAGTCTCTTTAAAAGTGTATTTCTTATCTAACCAACACCAAAAGTTTCTCAGTTACTTTTAGCCTCTGGCTGCCTGCTTCTGTCCTGATAAGAAACCTTAACCCAGTTCACTCTTAATTTATTATGGATCACTTGAGAACTTGTAAATCTACAGTTTGCAGATAGCCCTTTGCCTGGGGCTGTTACAGTTTAGGGAAAACCCATAGAGTGAACCCAGCACACTTCTGTGCATTAGTACATGAGGCTTAGAAAATCCTATTCTTGTAGTGGGGTTTTCATCATGAGATCTTACCCGTCTACGTACTTGGAGGCCCACAAGCTTCTCTCTTACTCTTACAGCCAACTTCTCTCTGCCTGAAAAATGCGACTATATGGATGAGGTGACATACGGGGAGCTGGAGAAGGAGGAAGCTCAGCCCATTGTCACTAAGTACAGGGAGGAGGCAAGGAAGCTGCTGCCGCCCTCCGAGAAGCGGACAAACCGCCGAAACAATCGAAACAAGCGAAACCGGCAGAACCGAAGCAGAGGCCAAGGCTACGGTGAGTCCTGGGGACCTGCCAGCCCGAGCCTCAGTCTGTTCTCTGTGCTGAGTGCAGCAGGACCCACAAGGAAAGGGCAGGCAAACCAAGTCAGGTCACCAACAATAAGGAAGCCCCTTCTTACGGAGCTTATTTCTTCCTGTGATCTTTACTCCCAGCTTCTTGTGCTTTTTCCATAATCCTTCAACAAAAGGTAGTTATTTTTCAACAAAAATATTTGTTTCCTTGAAAAGCAATGCTTGAGCCTGTTCATTTATCTAGTTTTCATTTTTACGTGTGGACTCCCCATTCACTATTGTGGTTTATTTGAAGGATTTGTGCAGTGAAATCAGATTCTTATCTTTTTCCTTGCTACTTTGTCTATTGGATCAACCCAACTGTATAGAGCAGAAAGTGAATGCATTATTCAGTAATCTGGGGGGGGGGTGTTAGACAGTAAGTTAGCTTATTAGTGGAATTAATTTCCCTCCTGAATGTCTAGTTTGTCAGTTAACACCCCCCGCCACAGTGTGCATTCACTGTGCATTAAAAATGTGTGTGTGTGTGTGTGTGTGTGTAATTATAAGTGTAAGTCAACAAACTTTTTGAGTGCCTGCTCTGTGCTGGGCAGTGGGAATACCAACAGTTGCTACCCTGGAAGAGCTTATCATTTAGACTTTGTTCATTTGTATAAAATGATGGGTCTGGGTTATATGATATCCAGGATCCCTTCCAGGGCTGAAAGTCTGTGGCTCTACGAATGGCAGTTTTTACTCATGTTTCTAACTCTGCCATGTATCCTTTTGGCATCTTAAATGTTTTGCAGGAATTGGGGAGCTTCAAAAGGTGAAACCAAGGTGGCTTGGTTTTCTTGTGTCTCTATTCCTCTGCCCTCCCCCACCTCAGACTTTTTAAAAGATCCTGGCTGGTGCTTTAATTAACATTGTGTGAGCCTGGCAGAAGCAGGCCTCCTATTCCCCCAGAATTGCCTTTGGCTCCGACTTTTTGATTTCCACTCAGATGTGGAGCCAGGACCCCATGCCAGCTGTCTGAGCGCGCTCTCCATTTCTCTTCCAGTGGGCGGGCAGCGCCGAGGCTACGACAACCGGGCCTACGGGCAGCAGTACTGGGGGCAGTCTGGAAACAGAGGGGTGAGTGCAGCTCTCCTTCTGCTCCTCCCTCTGGGCCGTGATAGCCATTCCTATTGGCTTGGGGGAGCAGAGTGGTTTGGGCTGTTTTCTCAGGGCTTAGGGTTTTGCCCATTTAATTTGTTCCTCTGGAAGACTTTATCCTGGGAAGGTTAAGCTTGTTTATAATATCAAGTGAAGATGTGTCTCATTTAAGACGGGGGATAGCAGTGGCTTGTGATGCTGAAAGCCCATACATCTTCGCTCTTTCTCCTTCTCCTTTCTCAGGGTTACCGTAACTTCTACGATCGATACAGGGGAGACTACGATCGGTTCTATGGGCGAGATTATGAGTACAACAGATACAGAGACTATTACAGACAATACAGTCGGGATGTAAGTATCATCTGGGGATAGAGAGATGAAGGGGGGCAGGGCCAAAGGGATGAATGTCGTGCCTCTCCATCCTTAGCCAGCTGTGGCTCCAGGTGATGGAGTTTCCCCTTTCTTCTAGTGGCAGAATTACTACTACCACCATCCCCAGGACAGAGACCGATACTACAGGAACTACTACGGTTACCAAGGGTATCGGTGAAGCCCCTGCCATTGTCGCCTGTCAGCCATGAAGCTGAATCTCTGGGGGTGCCAAGCACCCCCCAAAACACAACCAAGGAAAACAGGGGCTGCCGGGGTGGGGCTGAGCTGCCGGGGAGGGGCGGTGGGGGGAGGGTGCGCAAGCGGGGGGGGGGGGGGGTGGAAACAAACAACAAAACTGTACATTTTTTTTTAAAGTTTGTTGAAAAGAATATTGTCTTATTCTATAAAACATTTCAAACCTAGTTAGATATTTGTAATCGAAAAACCATTTGCTCAGAAAGCAGCACTTAGGGCTGCCTGTCCTATACCCTGCAGTCAGACAGGAAAAGAACTGAAAATGTCACCCTTCTGACATTCTGAGGCAGCTGGACTGGCAGCCAAGTAAGGGAGAGTGATGGCGAGGTAGTGCGGAGCGGGTGGGGAGGCGTGTGAGGGCACTCTCCATACAGGCAGGAGCGGGGACAGAGGGAGAGCTTGTGACTGGGGCAGTGAAAATAAACGATCAGCTCTTATCAATCACTTGCACCAACTAACCGTTTGTATTTTCTTTACCGACCTTTCCCTCTTGGGATATCTGGTCTGGTGGGCTGGGAGGCCATAGTGTCCCTGTCTCCACGTTCCTGTGCCTTTGTGCTGTTTGGCTGAGGCATGGAGACCACCAGTTGGGCGGTTCTGTTATAGGATCCCCACACCAAGGAGGCGTGGGGACTGTTCCTGATTGCAGAGCAGAATAGCTTGCAGCCTCTCTGTGTCTGTTAATGGATTTCCGTAAAATCCGGGGGAAGAGTTGGGGTTGCAGCCCTCAGCCTGAAGACTGTGATTTGCCAGTCTCTACTCTCTGTCTTCCAAGGTTGAGACAGGTGGGAAGTCTCTGAAATCATCTCTGTTAGAGAATCTGTCCTCTTATAGTTCAAGAGAAGGAACGTTTCTCAGGGTTTCAGCTCACACAGAAACGAAGCAGGATTCTTTTCACTGCAGCAGGATATGTATATAGGTGAATCCTGTGGTGTGGGCTACCAGGCCCAGGCGCTGAGAATAGCAGCTATTTTCTACAGTGTGGAGGGCCGGGGCCCTGCTGGCTTTTTTGATACACAGATAGAGAGTGAATAGAAAAGGGGAGGGTGGGGGGTGGGAGGCAGCTCCGTGGGGCTGCTGGAACTTGGGAAGAGCATGAATGTGAGCGTGTGCAGCGTGTGCATGAAAGAGAGCACCCCTTCCCGACTTGCTGAAACAGGATTCCTCCTGGGGTGCCTTCCCTGTGTGTCCCAGAGAGGCCTCTAGCCAAGAGACTTCAGTCGGGAGAGTTATTGTTTTGTAACTTTACCAGCACCCTCCCAGTTCTTGACAGACAGCTTCAGTTTGTGGGTTCAAGAATACAGGTGGATTATGGGAATGCTCTTTCAATACTGAGCTTCAGTTTTCATTCACCTTCCTGCTCAGCATTGTGTCAGCCAAGAGCTTACTCAGCGAACACCACACATTGCTGCACTTCCTGGCGAGGGGAGCCCTGGGTTGTGCTACTAGAAGGTACTTCACTTCCATTTCCTTAGCTGGGCAGTCCTCTGTTGAAAATTTTGTGCTGAGATTTGACCTCTCTCCCCCTCTCCCACGGTTACTGCCGTGCCCAGGAGGGTGCGCAGGCCCTCGTCCTGGCCCTCTAGTCGCCCTTCTGCTCCACAAGGACCTCTGACCCGGAGGCTGGAATGGGGGCTGGTAGGCAATACGTTTGCTTGCTCAAAATGATGTCCTTTCTCTGGGCACCTGCTTTTTCTGTGGTGCCGTCAAATGGATTTGTGTGTGGCAGTGGGTGAAGTGATTGCATGAATTTTTCTGTAACCCACTAACTTTTTATTATCATTAAGGGGAGTTTTTGAGAAAGTTTTGCTCATAGTGTCAGGGAGGTAAAAAGGAGGAGGTAGAAACTGGAGCCCAAAGAGATTCCCTTAGGGCAAGATTATAACAGAAAATTGACTCTGAGGCAGAAGCTGCCACCCCTATTCAAACGTTTAGTTCTCCAGCAAATAGCATCTTTTTATAGTCTACAACACAGTTCGGGGATGCTAGGCCCTCAGGACCAGGGGGACAAAGCTTAAGCCGCTTTGGGTTTTTTTGGGGGGAGGGGAGGTACTTGCTGTTAATTTTTGACACTAGAAAGTCATTTTTTTTAAAAAAAAAGCTTTTTCTAGGTGGGTGGAGAGTGAAACTGCCACGTCCTTGTCGGTTTGGTCCAAGAGATCACTCGCAACAACAGTAGATGTCTGGGTTTTGTTTCTGTCTTTTTTTATTATGAAAAAACAATGTTAAGGGGGAAAATGTGGATTAACAGGCGGGATCCCTACCCTTGTTTTCCTTAGAAGACTTGTTTAGTGTTTTATCAGACGTCTGTTGTAGTTGTAGATGGAAAAGCTTGTGAGAAAAACAAACACCACATGGAGCCTGTAAATGTTATTGCACAACCTGTAAAGCATTCTTGGAAGTGGCCAGTAAAAAAGGGTTTTACCATTTAAAAAAAATGTAACTGTGTCATTGTTTACATCTGTAACTTTTTCCTCCCCTGTTCTCATTACAACATTATGGCAAAAATGTAGGCACGGTAGCTTCCAGTTTTAGAATAAATAACCATTTGGATTGAATTCACCCTCTCTCCTGTCGCTGCACTGACTGGGTAGAGCGTGTCATTGGGGGCTTTACTTCTGATGCTGCTCCTCGAGTTGTACTGGGTTCCAACCAAGGTTGGCTTTCCTCTTTCATGGCTTTTCTCCCTTCCTATTCTGCCATGCTTTCACTTGGGAACCAGCCATACCTTCACTCGGGGTCACTCGGGGTTTGTTGGCTTACTTAAGTGCTTGCTTGAGCCGTTGGAGTAGAAGAAAATAAATGATAACCATGACCTCTGTGTATTTGGCCTATACTAAAACGAGTTGGATGCTTGAAGTTAAATGTAGGGTTCCATTTAGGAGCCAGATTAAGTTTATTCGTAATTACCACTTAAGAGGAAAAGCCTACTTATTCAACAGAAGATGTTTGATGGGGATTCTTCCCTAGTGACTATGTAGAATGAGAAGGTAACTTTGACAAAAGCACTACTGCATTACTAGCACCGAACGGATGTTGATTGTAACTTCTGATAAATGGTTAAGGACTTACTAAGGCTGGGCTCCCACAGGCTTATGACATCTAGTGTTTTGAAGTAGTCGTGATACAGGTATAGTTACTGCTCTAACTCCTCCCACTGTACATGATAGAGATTCCCACCCCAGGGGCTTACAGCTTTGGGCCCAAAGGCTATCCTTGATTTCAGTGTCTGCCCATTCTCTAGGGTATTTAAAGTTACTCAGTGTTACAGCTAATAATTTAAAATGGTTATTTATAGCTCATGCCTTGTCTCTAGTAACCTCTAGACCCCCCGGCTTTGCCCCCAGCAAGGGCTGCAGCCATTCACCCCTAATCTGATGAGTATGAAAATTGAATGTGTAGAAAAACTGAGCAGAGGTTGCTTTTTTTTTTTTTTTTAAATAACCTAATATCAAGATTACACTTATTGAGCACTTCTGACTTCTTACCAAGTCTGAGCTGATGTGGGCATTTTCACTTACCCCTCTGGAATTTGCCCAACACTGTAATATAATACCTTAGGAAAAGAGAAAGATTCTTTTAGTGCCTTCTATGCCCTGCTTGCCATTTAAGCATGTATAGTACAATCGTTGGATATCTGAATGCCTGTCATATGCCAGACACTGACAGGATGCAGGGATTAAACAGACTTGATCCTTAGAGGAGTCAACGGGCACTAAGAACTAAGCAGGCTCCTGAACAGAATGGGGGTAGGTCCCCACTTCAGGAGGGCAGCCAGGTTACTTTCCTTGGTTTCTTCCTCTCCAGGATGAGGGAATTAAATATCTCCAGGGCCTATTAGGGCTCAGGAATTCATCAACAGCGGGGAAGCTGCTATTCCTGAAGGTGCCTCAAGTTCACTGGGTACTCCTGGAGCCTGTGGAGACGTCCATAGGAAACTTAAGTTCAGTTCCTGGTAGAACACCCTTTATTCCTTTGGTTTCCTCTTTGTCCCCCTCCCCTGCTGTCTTCCTGTGTGAAGGTGTGGGGAAGCTGGGGGCGATGTGCTGTCTCTAATATAGGTCACCCCCTTCTGCAAGGCAGCCTCTGGCAGCCGACCCTACCCGCAAGCGTATCCCAGGACAAAGCATGACCCAGGCTTGCCCCGGGAAGCATGTGTCACTGGGTAGGGGGTGGGGAATCTTGACAACCCATGAGGAGCAGACCTCCTGAGACTTACTTTCTCTGCCTTGGCCCTGGTCCCACCTCCGTATGTGTCTTTCTTTCCCTTGGAAGGTAACGGCTTCTGGAAAGGTATGCTGGGGCTTTATAAACCTCCGCCAAGTTTGAGTCCGGGAGGCGCTCGTGAGACAAACCTCTGGCCGGGCAGCTTGCTGGACCACTACTAGGGGTGGTAGGCGCACCAGGGGCGGGGACACTGCTCCTGGCGGATGTGACAGAAGGGACCTGAATGGGAAGTGGGAGAACAGCAAGCCCCAGTTCTAACAGGAAGCCCAAACTGAACTAAGGGCTTATCCAACTCCTAGGGAGAACAGGAAGCGACCAAGGAATAGCGCCCCGAGCCAAACGGCGCCGGGCATTGTCCTCACACTTATGTTTCCGCTCCAAGGGAGTCTCTACTAGGCAAGATAACAGAGACCTAGGTTCTCTCATAAGTTCCACGCGACCGGCGCCTACTGCAGGCGTGCTTGCTGGGACCCCCTTGTCCCATGATCCTTGGCTATAGCCACCAGTGTGCCTTCACCTGGATCGGGTGGACGTCGGCTTCCGGCCTCCGGGGTGGGTAGGAGTGGGTATCGAGTTGACGAGGGAAGGAGCAGCCATTTTGAGACAGATGAGCACGGAAGGGACCATATTGAGAACTCTGGATGCCTGGGGCCGCCATTTTAAGTATGGGCCCAGCCGAGAAGCCCTGTACGGTAAAACGCTGTGACATGCGGCGGCCATATTGGTGCGGATCCCCTTGGCGGCGGCCATCTTGAACGGAGACTTGCTGTGGGCGTCGCCATCTTAGAAGTAAAATGGCCCCTTCCCAGGAACTGGAACCAAGCTCCTCCCCTCTCACTGGGTACCTCCTGTCTGCGAGTGCCCTTCGGAGGCCCTCCCTAAGTCCACCCCGTTAGGTCTGTTTTCATTTTCACTTGTCTTCATTGCACTCGTGTGTGTGTGTGTGTGTGTGTGTATGTATGCTCTCCGTAGCCTCTGAGTGTCTGTCTGTAACTTAATTCTTCCACTTGAGACGTTCTCTCATGCCCGCCATCCACCCTAACCCGGTGGATCTCCGACCCTAGACAATGTCTAACCCGCTTTGACTGGCCCTGTTCCCTGGTTATGGCAAGCTTTTCCACCTGCCGCACCCACTCCCCAATCTATTGACTGATGATCCTATCCCCCAAGAACGGTAACACAGGAACTGTCCTCTGAGACTCTGGATGACTTTATTCTTCAAATGGCTTTACACTTCCAATAGTTCCAGGTGAGACTGAGAGCCAGCACCCAGCCCATCCCTCTCTCCATTGTCTGAGCGGGTCACAGAGGGAAGCGGGCAGGACGCTGGCAGAGTCTGACAGCCCTTCTGTGGGTGGAGCTAAGGGTGCCCCGAGTCACGGGGTGCTTTGGGTCCGCCTCAGTGGGCGAGGAAATGGGGTCGGCAGATAGGTGAGGGAGGGCCTTGTGCTTCAGCTAACCTCACAGGGTTGGGAAAGGGCTACGGATGGGATGCAGGGACCCTAGTGGGCTCACCACAGTTCCTGACATAAATGAGGAAGGGCCCGGGAGAGGGAAAGGTGAAGAGTTGTGAGGAGGGACAGGGCAGCTCAGAGGAGGGCACAGAAGAATTTCTTCTCCCGGAAAGGGTTCTCCGAAGTGGGCACAGGGGTGATGAGGGGATCCTCACAGGCGTGGGCATCACAATAAGTCATCAGGTCTGCTGCTGCCTTGGACACCTGGGGCACAGCCAGGAGGGGAACTGTTAGCCAGAAACCCTGAAATGGACTGCAGCCTCCCTCCCCAAATGGAAAATCTTTTGCCGTCTCTAGAGCTCCTTAAGACAGTCTTCTCTTCCCTCATCACCCACAGAGACCTGGGGCCAGCTCTCCTTACAGATCCCAAGACTCCTCCTGTGATCTCAAGGAGTCAATGAAAGAAAGCATCTCTTATCCTGAGGTTTGGGAACCTGCGATACAGGCTGCCAACTAATGGGATCCAGGGCCCCACCCACCTTTATCCGGCACAAGCTGGCTTCAATCTTAAGCTGTTCCACCATCTTGCGGGCTTGCCCAATACTCATAGTGCTGTTCACAGGGGTCTCCCCTTTCATCCTGAAGAAGAGAGCTGAGAGCATGATAGGGGGCCCTGCACAATCTCAGCTGAAGGCCCCCCTCTGTGCTTACTCCTCATCAACCTTTACAAGGCCGGGTCATATGCCCCAATATTTTATTCCCCTCTTATCCCCAACCTCCGTGGTCTTTCCCATTCCTGTCTTCCTCAGCTAAGGAAATGGAGAAGTGGGATGAGATACTCCCCAAACTCCTACATGGCCTGGGCCACAGATCATTAAACATATAAATGATTTAAGGCTTCCGAGCCCTCAAGTTATGTGTGTTCCCAGCTCTGAAAACCACAACTAGAAAGAGGCCCGCCCTAATGAGGAGAGTACTGAACCCCCACCTGCCCCCTTGAGCCCCAAAGGGAGAAAAGCAGGATGCTCGCTACTCACCTGAGGCCACGGGCAGCGACAGTCCTGGGGAGAAGGATCGTGGGGTGCACCAAAACCTTCTGCCTGAGATGGGTGCCCCACCTTGCAGGGAGTTGCAGCTGAAAATATCTGACGCAGCAGCACAAGGCCACTGGGGAGGGTCAAGTCAGAGGCCAGTGGAGGGCTGGTCCCAGTTTTTGCAGCTCCAGCACTGGCTGTTACCTGAAAGATGAAGGATGCTAGAAGGAGCTGCTCAGATCCTGGCACATACCAACTGTCTGGCCAGTGGGGGAGCCTGGCTGCTGCCTGCAGCCCCTGTGCACGCCCCCACTGTTACTGTCTCACTACCTGCCCCTCCCCCATTGCAGGCATTCAGAGTCTGGGCTAGAGACCTCCCCAAAGGAGCTGGAAGTAGCTGAGTCCCAGGTAGAGTCCCCCCTCAAATGGGGTGGTCTGGACCTGTGACAGCCCCTGCAGTGGAGTCAGTACTGACTGCGTGAGACCCTGCTCATTTGAAAATCTGACATCAGCTGGGCAGTCGCCCCCTCCATCCCTCCTCCCTCTACTCTGACACAGCATTTAACACCTGAATCTTCACTTCTCTCCCAGGGACCCTCCATTCCCCATATCCTGGAAAATGTGATGAGCTACAGGTATCAGCTTCTAGATCACCACTTTAACGTTCTAGCTACAAGTACTCGAGCAGAAGATCCAGGGGCAGCGAGGTCCATCAGGAAGATGTCTAAAGAAATGGCAGACCAAAGAGAAGAAGGAGCAGCTGGGGAAAGAGTGGCATGCAGAGATCAGATCAAAGAATCGGACAAAGACGAGGTAGAGGGGAGAGTCGGTGGGTGTTTCTGGAAATAGATGGGCTTCCTGTGTGTGTGTATTGGCTTGAGATTGCCTCCCACGTCTGCAGTGTTGTGCTTGGTGCTGTGAGATGTACGCAAAGATGTACACAACACTGATCCTTCTGAGGGATCTTATTTGGGGTGAATAGACATATACAAAATAGAAATGCCACCCGCCAAAATCTAGTCTAGATAATGCGCTGTGGGGACTCTGAGGGAAAGTCTAGTTAGGGTCGGAGGAGGTCGATCACGCATCGTAAAAGCTGGAGACAAAACACGGGCCTGAAATGCTACCGCTCTTGTGAATAGGGGACAGCCAGCCCGCTGGCGCAACGCGCAAGATGTACAGGTACCCGCAGATTGCAACGTTCTCGGGGCGAATGCTCTCTGCCTTGGAAGCCCACGGATCCAAGGAGCTGTGGGCAATGAAAATCAGCGCCAGCTGGATGCCCGCCTCTCCCCCTCTTCGGGGGTTAAATGGCGGATAGTGAAGGTGTGGGCGGAGGGCCGTGATTGCGGCCTCGAGGGGCGGGCTGAGGGATCCTGCTGACTCATATCTGGAGCATATCTTGGGGCCTGGAGGGAGGCGCCTGTCCCCTTTGGTTTTGGTATCCGGAGGGTAACGGACCGCAGGAACGGACAGTGCCGGGCGCGAGGAGGTAGGAACTTGGCGGCCCGGAAGGCCCCGCCCCCTGTGCCGGGCCCCGCCCCAGACGAGCCCCGCCCCCAGTGCTACAAAGGGGGCCGGCGAAAGGGGGAGGGACTTCCCCGGGAGGGGGAGGGACTTCCCCGGGAGGCGGAAGTGCCTTCTCGCGGTTGCCCGGGCAGTGCGCGGCTGGTGAGTCTGTATCCCTGTGGCGGCCCGCTGGCAAGTTTCTATGTTGCTGCGGTTGGGTGGGGGCTCCGGGCGCTGCGTCCACCGCCGAGCCAGAGGGAGCTGGCGGGGAGCGGCCGTTGGCTGTAGGACGCCCTGCCCGGAGTGGGGCGCGGCCCTGTCTGAGAGCGACTGCAGCTCCAGGAGGAGAGGAGAAGCTCGGTAGGGAATTGTGGCTGCGCTGAGGTTGCTGGCTTTGAGTCCGGCTGTGCGACCTTAGGCAAGTCGCGCGTGCTCTCCGTGCAGCCATCTCGCAGTGTGGAATCGTGTCATCGTGTGTGTAAAACCGCCTTGGAAGAATTTTAAGGTGCTCATCCTCTGTATGTTACGTATTACTATGAATGCCCGTCAAGGTGGCTGTCCCAGAATCAGGTGACCCGAGGATGGGTTCAGCTGAGGAACTCTAGCACAGGTGGTGGAGAGAGCACAGTGGAGGAAAGGAAGGGATAATTGGCTGAGAAACGCAATCAATTGGAGAAAGGCCATATGAAACAAAGACTTTGCTATGTCTTGCTATCTCTGGTTCCTCAAAGCCAGTCCGGTAAGCTTGTCCTTTTTGTCCCCACCTCCCCCGTGAAAAGAGCCATTCTTTCCCCTTCTCTGTCTTTTTCCAGGAACCACCAGCTGCTTCATCCCATGGCCAGGGGTGGCGTCCAGGTGGCAGAGCACCTAGGAACTCAAGGCCTGAACCCGGGGCCAGACCCCCTGCACTCCCCATCATGGTCAATGACCCACCAGTACCTGCCTTACTGTGGGCCCAGGAGATGGGCCACGTCCTGGCAGGCCGTGCCCGCAAGCTGCTCCTGCAGTTCGGGGTGCTCTTCTGTACCATCCTACTCCTGCTCTGGGTGTCTGTCTTCCTCTATGGCTCCTTCTACTATTCCTACATGCCGACAGTCAGCCACCTCAGCCCCGTGCATTTCTACTACAGGTGAGAGGGGTCTTCTGTCAAAGTAGAGGAGTCCAGTGAGAGAATTGCTGCAAGGACCCTTGGAGCTTATTCAGGTCAACCCCCTTATTTACGGAGGAGGACACTTGAGCCCAGTGTGCTTATACTGATTTATAGCCCAAGGTTGGGGCAGGTCTGGGCTTGTAGAGCTCTAGGGTCCTAGTCCTGTCTCTGGTTACTGGAATCTGGTTAAAAAGAAGAAAAAAAAAATCCCTCTCCTAGGTTGTCATTATGAGGGTCAGTTCAATTTAGGCTGGATCAGACCTCTCTCAGGGCCACTGTAGACTTTTGAGCCAACCCAACCCCTTGGGTCATCTCAGAACTAATCTGGCCTTCAGTAGAGGAGGTATTAGGAAAGCAGTAGTTTGCCTCTTACATGACTTCTTCCCACTCCCGGATAGTCTGCTGCAAGAGAATTTATGGAAACACAGGGTGTCTGGGTGCATAAACTCCCAGAGTCCTACTTCCCTACTTCTTGCCTGGGGCCTCAATTCCTTCCCATTTTACAGACCCTGCCAAATTCCCTCCCCTTCTTTTTTATTTTATTTATTTATTTTTTTTTGCGGTACGCGGGCCTCTCACCGTTGTGGCCTCTCCCGTTGCGGAGCACAGGCTCTGGACGCGTAGGCTCAGCGGCCATGGCTCACGGGCCCAGCCACTCCGCGGCATGTGGGATCTTCCCGGACCGGGGCACGAACCCGCGTCCCCTGCATTGGCAGGCGGACTCTCAACCACTGCGCCACCAGGGAAGCCCGTCTCCCCTTCTTTTAACAATGACTACAGGACCAATCAAGAGGTGCTGACAAGGGCACTATTATCAGTGGTCCAAAGTTTTTTTTTTTTTTTTCCCTGTCCTGAGTCCGTGGTCATGAGCTGTAATTTCTAAGGCAGAGCTGCTTAAACTTTTATTTATTTTATTTTATTTAATTAATTAATTTATTTATTGGCTGCGTTGGGTCTTCCGTTGCTGTGTGCTGGCTTTCTCTAGTTGCAGCGAGCAGGGGCCACTCTTCGTTGCGGTGCGAGGGCTTTCCACTGCAGTGGCTTCTCTTGTTGTGGAGCACAGGATCTAGGCACGCAAGCCTCAGTAGTTGTGGCACACGGGCTTCAGTAGTTGTGGCTTACAGGCTCAAGAGCGCAGGCTCAGGAGTTGTGGCACACGGGCTCAGTTGCTCCGCGGCATGTGGGATCCTCCCGGACCAGGGCTCGAACCCGTGTCCCCTGCATTAGCAGGCGGACTCCTAACCACTGCGCCACCAGGGAAGCCCTGCTTAAACTTTTAAGAGGCATGATGGCCTGGCCCCTGGCCCAGGTTCAGCTTATGAAAGCTATGGCCCTTCCTGCCATAAAAACCTATATATATGCCCATGTGCAATTTTGCCTACAATTCAAAGGGTTCGTGAGCCTCTTAAAGATCATCTGTGGCTCCCTTTGGAGGAGTTTTCTCAAACTAGGCCCCAGACCAGAATTCCTAAATCAGAATTCGGAGGAGTGGGACCCAGGGATTTGCATTTTTATCAGCTCCCCAGGTGAGTCTTTAGAAAGACTTAAGTCCGAAACTATTCAACTAAGTGTCCCTAGGTTCCCATTTAAGAATGTCTGCTCTAATGAAAGGAAATAAATGGAAGTAGCAGGAAGAGAATTAAAGACTCAGTCTGTTGTCTTGAATCTCCTGGCTGCATTTCTTCTCCGTCTGTCTCTATAACAGAGAAGCGTGCCCATTCTGGGAGAAGGGATGGGGGATAGGAAAGGGAGCCCTAGGGGCCAAGGAGGTGTGTGGACAAGTAAGGCAGACTCTGTAACTTAGCAGAGTATCATCCCCATTCTCATTTAGGACCGACTGTGATTCCTCCGCCTCCTTACTCTGCTCCTTCCCTGTTGCCAATGTCTCACTGGCTAAGGGTGGACGTGATCGGGTGAGTATGGGAGCTGAAGAGAGGTTTCATTAGAGCTTTGATGACTTGAAACAGGAAGGCTTGAGGAAGACCTGGATGTCAGGGACCGAGTAATAGAGACTAAAAGGAAGGCTTTCAGGGAAAAGGGAAGTTAAAGAAAAATTAAAGTCCAAATGAATTGTGTGGATTATTCTTTCCTCCTTCTTAAATTGTTTCAGCCAGGCCATATCTACTAGATAAGGTGTATTTTAGATCTAAATGAACCTAAATTAACAGATCAGCTATCTCACAGAACTAGGATGGGATCCACCCAAGAGTTTTGAAAGTATGTTAAATTATGAAACCGTTGACAGATATGTGTAACCTGCCATTACAAAGGGTACTGTGCCAGAGGACTGGCCAAATGCCAGTATGCCTTCAACAAACCTGGAAACCCTGGGGAATGCAGAATGGGAATGCATCCTTCTCTATTAGGCAAGCTGCTGGAGGCTCTGAAAAAGGGTAGGATCCCAGAACACTTCAGAAGGATCCTGGAGGATCAGGAGCATTTCTGATCACGAGAGTTTTCTGAGTTGTCAGCAATGTAATAAAAAGTCATCAGAAATCAGACTTATTAAGAGTTTAAACACCATTTGAAAATGATTTTTCAAAAATTGTACTTGGGAGGATACTGACCTAAAGATAAACACAGGATAGAAATAAATGGTCACTCTGAAGGGAGGAGTGTAAGCTGTAGAGTCTGGGGCCCCCTGGGGTTGACAATACAAATAACCTAGGAGACTGTGTATCCTGTCTCCTGTGACATCTTCCAGTTTACTGCCAGGGTAACACTATCCAGAAAGCTTACCAGGTGGGATGAGTGGATCCCAAATGGAGATTTCAAAGTGGTGAAGTGGGGAAGGGAATTCCCTGGCGGTCCAGTCGTTAGGACTCCACACTTTGACTGCCGAGAGTCCAGGTTCAATCCCTGGGGCAGCTTCACAGTGTGGCCAAAAAAAAAAAAAAAACTGGTGAAGTGGAATGTTGGGCATTGCAAGACAGGATTATCATTTTAGTTCTGCTACTCAGGAAAGTAACTTGGAGATTATTATAGAATGTTCTGTAAAAACATTGGTTCAATGTGTTTTTGTGGCTTAATAATAATAATAAATGGAATATATTGAGAGGGGAATAGAAACAAAGCCACAGTACATTTGCACCTGGGATGCTGCATGCATTTGTGTGGCTGCCCATAGTAGATCATAATGGTTGGTGACGCAAGGAGCCTAAAACAATCGGGTACCAGGCTGCTGGATGAGGAAGGAATGGAAGGATGAAGGGTGAGGCCAGATTGATCATTTCATTCATTTCTAGTGAGCATTTTTGAGTGAATGCATGAAATAATGGGTCTTCTCTGTGTGTAACACCTTGTTTAGAAATAGAAGATGTGGTCCTGCTTTCAAGGAGCTCACAGGATTGACAGAAATCTATACATTGCATTAAGTAGCAAAGATGCAGATTCTGCATTTCAGAAGAGTTTGTGAAGAATTAGACAGGTGTGAGACTATGGAGATGGTGAGGCTCAAAGTGGGCCTTTTAAGGAAGGGTGAATGCTGCGTGGGAACGGAGGAGAGGGAGAACCTGCCCATCAGGCAGACACATGCGAACAAAGGCAGGACTCATTCACAAGATTCTGGTATTAGATTTTGTGGATGCCCTTGGAGGAGATGACATAATTACTGGTTTAAAAAAAATATATATATATAAATCTTTATTGAGGTATAATTCACATAGTGTACAAGTCGCCCTTCAAAATGTACAGTTCAGTCGTTTTTAGTATATTCAGAGATGAGCAACCATCACCACAATCAATTTTAGAACATGTTCATCACCGCAGAAAGAAACCCATACCCACTACCTAGCAGTCCCTCCCCGTTTCCGTCCTGCCCACTCAGAGAACTACCTATTTTAATGTTTCAAAGAATTCAGTGAAGCAACTGGCTTAGATTCATCTGGCCTCTACAGGCGGGTAGGAATCTCTTGGA